AGCGCCGCACGCCCAGAGCGCGGGCGGCTAATTCGCGGCGCTCCCAGGGCTGGCGCTCACTGTGCGCCATGTGCCCGGGGCCGGCTCCGGCACCATGCATGCGCCACGTGCCCGGGGCCAGGCCAGCCCCGAGCACTTGGCGGGCGCACACAAATACCCCCATGAGCGCCATGGCGCCCGCGGGCACCGTTTTGGGGACCACGGGACTAGATGATCTGGCCTATGGGCTATAGGTTCTCCATCCCTGCTCTAAGTAGTCTTAGTACACTAGATGGGACAGAACACCACACACAGGAGGCATATAGGTTTCATATCTATAAAATTGGGACTCAACAATTATTTTGTACCATAATTCTAAATGTACCTCATGAAAAATCAAGGTATCTATTAACATACTACTATTTGTTTTATTAATTTTGCTGCTATACTTTGTTTCCAAATTCAAATCAATTAGTCTCTGGGTGATATGTAAGACATCTGGAATTGATCTTCTAGAGGAGCATAAAAATGCAATTTATAAAATATTATTTTGCTGGCCACTGATAATTGCATTGCTAGAAAACTATGGCAATGCATAAAATTGGGAAACATCATTCATTATTGGAACAATGCTGATATTTAAATGAGATTCAAGTATATTTAATAGTATGTTCACTTAGTTTAGAGAGCAAATGATAAAGTAGAAGTAAAATTATGATTTATAATACCTCATGTAATGTTCAGTTGTTCAATGTTTCCAAACAGAAATCCTCTCCTAAATGCCTCCCCAATAGATCTCAAACTGGGTGAAGCTATTGTCTAACTTAGTACTCATGTCCCAATCTCTTTGCCCAACCTGTCTCAACTTCTCCCCCAGCTTCCAAAAGCCAGTGTCTCTTCCCTCCTCAGGCACAGTGCCACTCCGGTATTTCTCCGATATTTCCAGTTCCTATTCTCCAAGTACCCACAAAATTCTTCAAATATACCTATTTTTTACTTTCTACAGTTTGACATTTTCAAGTTATAGGTGATCAAAAAGATCACGAGACTCAGAATATGAACTTTTTTGTCAATTGTTACTTGATTAGAACTGGGAAACTACTTAACTTATTTCTTCGTCCATATCAGAAAATTCCAGTTTTATGTAAAGACTATATGCCGAAGTTTTAATCAGATAGAGTGTGTTAAAACAAAGAGGGAATTGCTACTTTAGTCGCAACATAGAATGAACCTATGCTCCACCATAATAATATGTTATATCTTGCTATTACAATTCTTTCCTTGTTAAGTGAGGTCCCAAGTTTTCCACAATTTTTTACTCTTTATCTTAACATGAATCTTGTGATCTGCATGGATGAGATACTGTATTTCTAACAGAAATGAACAGCAACAAAGCAAAAGGGGAGAGCAATAGCTCAGTGGTCTGAGCATTGGCTTGCTAAACCCAGGGTTGCAAATTCAATCTTTGAGGGGGTCATTTAGGAATCTGGGGCAAATATGTCAGGGATGATACTTGGTCTTGTGGTAAAGACAGCAGACTAGATTCAATGACCTCTTAAGGTCCCTTCCAGCTCTATGAGATTGGTATATCTCTGTGTATTATAATGGAGATTCTGGTGATCCCAGCTGAGATGGTGAATTAGGTAGGAATCTGCTTGTTTCTCCTCTGCAACACTGATTTTACTCCTATGAATATCTATGGTTGGCAGTGCCACCATCTGGACAGGCCTTACATACCGTTGTAGTTCTTTTGGAGGTTACAAACACCAAGGGAAACTCACCCTTTCCTTCATTGGCTGTAATTGCTCTCAGTATGTACCTGTGGAAGATTCCATAAACTAGGGCTCTTAAGCTGTCAGCTATAGTGTAGTCTTGCTCCTGGACATGTGTCTTCATCCTTGTCAACTCAACACCAGACTCTCACATGTTCTCTTGAGTCAAACCCCAAAAGCAGCAGTAGCTCTTTGTTCCACTTTTCTGCCCACCAAATTGAGATCCTCAATCCCCTGCAGTATTCTACGATCCGGGAAGTTCAGTTCAGTCCCAGAGTGCAGCCACTAGTGCAATCTTTCAGTGTATATACTATGAAGAGACCTGTCAAATCAAGATACCTCTAAAAGGATTCAGAGGTTCCTCAAATGTGTGCCAATGCTCCCATTAGCATAATTTACTCTTAAACAGAAGAGATTGGGAAAAATCTGGAACTATCTAGTTTTGTTCTCTTTTCTACTAATCAGACCAATACTTGGAAACTGAGAGCAGGTCTACAATTAAAATGCTGAAGCTCTAGAGCAGTTCTCAACCTTCAGTGCACTACAACCACCTTCTGACAATATAAATTACTACATGATTGAGGTGGCAGGTGGGGAGTAAAGCCTGGGGGGTTAGGGTGGTATACTTGTAACTCATGGATGTGGATTTTTCACATCTCTGAATGACAGTTCTTCTTTGAGTGATGTCCTTGTGTGTGCTCCACTGTAGGTGCTGGGCTTGCCCTGGTGCTGCAGGATGGAGATTTTTCAAAGCTGTAGTCGGCCGGACCGCACATGCACTGGGGCATCTCGCAGCGTTTGCGCTCTCCCATGCTGCGCGATCCAGTTCTAACCAGTTCCTCTCAACCGCCTCAGGCTGCAGATGGAGTGAATTCTCTCTCTCTCTTTGACAGCAGTTTGTGAGACAAAATTAGTTTTTTTCCTCTCATTATACTTCTTATTGCTTCTTCCTCTTGTTACTATTAAACCCGTTTTACTTACCACCCAGTTTAAAAAAAAAGAGAGAAAAAATAGTCAAAGTCCTCCTTCTTTCCCTTTTTCTATCATTATTGTTCTTCTTCTCGTTGTACATAGTTCACCCTCATTCCTACATATTTAAAAAAAATACCTGGATCTCCAGGGTTTAAAAAATGCTTCATATGCCACGATGCCGTGCCTGTCTCAGATGGCCATGTGGCATGTATCCGCTGCCTTGGCGAGGGACATGTACCACTGAAGTGTGTACATTGTTCAAAACTCACAGCTAGAGTCCGCCGTGATAGAGAAATGAGGCATTGTATGATCCTCTTTAACAAGGCACTCCAGCCTGAAGGATCAGCCTCTCCCCCTCAAGCCCATCAGCAAGCTCAAAAGAGAAGAGCTTCCTCGCCGACTACGGCACCACCAAGAAAGCCTAAGCCCTCTCCTACTAGATCTCTGCCTTTAACTTCTCATGGCAGGATTAGCACAGGGTCCAAGCCAGGCACTTCAGGTATGACTGCACATGCCACCTCAATTTCGACCTCCTGAGCCAAAAAGATTGACCCGCTTGCACTTTGCGCCATTTGGCCGCATCTTCCACAGTAGTGGGACTGGAGGTTTCTGTTCCAAAGCCATCGGCACCGTCTGTTGCAGCAGAGGCACCGATATGTGTTGCTTCCACATCTTCAGAGTCATGCTTGGCACCGGAGAGATTGCCGCCTGAATGAGCAGCACCGACCTCAGCATGGGAGCGAGCGGCACCGACCTCGCCACAGGAACAAGCGGCACCATCCTTGGTGCCGGAGTGGGCGGCACCAGCAAAGGCACGCACTAAGAAGCACCGTTACCACAATCCATCCCCCAGTTCTCCACCTTTGACAT